CACACAGCACCCAGACGGCGTCCTAGAAATAATTCTGCAAGTGGCTCTGAGCCTCGGAGCCCACTCAGCGTTACACCTCCAACAAGTAAGGGCGGATTGTACGTGTCTGCACACACGCCACATGGGCATCGTATGTTACGTGCAGTACTGTGTATTGTCTGCAGTAGAAATACAGTGCTGTTAAGTAACACGGAACGCGCTGACAGTTTATTGCCAGTGCTACAATTCAGATTTTCACTTGAAAGCCCGAATTTTGGAAAACTCATATCCAACACCACTGCTGATGTGGCTTCATCTTCCACGTTGCCACCAGCCTTTAGAACCTGCAGCTGTGAGGTTGGCTGTTGTGTAGCGATTGTCCGTAATTGCCAGAGAAGCATATCAACACACTCCTGTCTTTCCCCACTCTACAGCAAGTTTGCTGAAGAGTTGTTTTGAAAGTTATACTCCTTGTTCATAAGATGCGGAACTTGTGGCAACATAAGGGGTTTATTATTGTTCTTTTAAAGCGAGTTGACACATATTTCTAAACTTCTGTTTCACTTCGAGCACGGTAAACATCGACAGGCATTTACACGGAAGCACAGCTCCCGGCGTGCGCAGTGACTTCCTGGCGTGTCCGCAATCCCAGGAGGCAGAGTGCAGGTGAGACGGGAGTACCTTGCCCCAGGAAGCACGTGCGTGCTCAGAACCGCAGAAGAACTCCCCGAAGTGTCAGAAACGCCAGCTTAGTCTCCCGCTGGCCGCATGTGGAATAACTAGTGCGCTAAAGGGAACAGTCATGTTAACGGATGAAAAGGACCCTCTCCAAGAGCTGATTCTGCTGGCACCTAGACCTCGGAATTCCAGGCTCCGGAGCTGTGGGAGACAGGTCTGTGCGTAAGCCGCCCCGTCCGTGCTGTTTTGTTATAGCAGCTTGCTGGGGTCTGAATGTTTGTGTCTCTCCAGAATTCACATACTGAATCCCCACCCCCATGTAGTGGTGTGTGGGGGGCCCTTTGGGAGGTGATGAGGTGGCGGGTGGAGCCCACACAAGTGGGATTAGTGTTCTTGTAACAGAGCCCCCAGCCCCGTCCTCCGCGTGAGGACGCAGGGAGGAGATACTGTCTGTGAACCAGGAAGCTCTCACCAGCACTCCCGGCTGACACCTTGATCCTGGACGTCCAGCCCCGAGGACTGGGAGAAGCAGGTGTCTGTTGTGAAGCCGCCAGCCTGTGGTGCGTCGTTACAGCAGCCTGAAAGCCCCAGCTGGCAGAGATGCCCAGAAGCTCCACACCAGGCAATGCCAGGCCCTGTAGGAGAAGGGGAAGGCCACAGCTGAAATTCAGAGGCTCTTCTGAGGTCAGTTAAGAAGTCTTCTGGCCCCCAAGTCCCCTCCCCAGCTCCGTGCTGCCCAGTGACGGCACCTTTCTCAACCCTGCAAAGATGGAGCCTGAGTCCCTAGAGAAGGTAAAGCAGAGGTTCCTGGGCAGGGACCAGGTGCAGCTAAGAGCAGGGCCCCATCCTGACAGCGGGGGCTTTGGGGTGTCTGCCTTGCTTTCTGCTCACCCCTCAGGCCACGTCCTTGTCACCCTCTTGGGGCTCCCAGCTAGTCCCCAGCTCTGATGGCCCCTGAACTAGTCCTTCCTGGCGCTCACCGCGTCTACCTGTGTGCCGGGCTGTGTGCTGCCCCCTGCGCCTGCATGTAGAGGTGGTGGTCTCGCTCTGGGAGTGTGTTGTCTGACACGTGTTTACCTTCTGTCCTCAGTGCTGCGGTCAGGGGTGGGCAAATAGCAGGACTTGCTAAGCACTCGTTGAGTGGGTGGTAGATGAAGGCCTGGGACTTGACGTGGGTCGTGGGGTGGGAGGACAGGGCTGAAGGTGCAGAGGACCAGGAGAAAGAGACAGGAACCAGGGCCCAGGGTAACGAGAGCAGGATGGGCTCCAGCCCAGGAGGACCCCTGCCTTCCAGAGCACAGGAAGCAAACTACAAAGGGGATCCTTTTGTAGAGAGCTGGTCGTGCCAGGTGTTGGTGAGGCGTTGGGCTGTGCCCGGCTGGAGGAGGTGCGGGCAGGGCAGCCCACCTGGAGAGGATTTGAGAACCCCACAATTCTGCTTTCGGGTGCCCAGCTCAGGGAAATCCACACGGGTCCCTGAGCTCAGGTACAGAGGTACTCGCTCCAGCACCATCTGTGGTGTCTGGGGGCTGCCTGGCGTCCCCTACGGGCCGGAATGTGGTGTGAGTGTTGGAAGCAGCAAGTGAGATGGGCTGTGCCTCATAGATGGACTAAAACAGCTGCTTGGAGGAAAAGTAAGAAACGTGATGATGACACGTCTGTGTAAAATGTTGTAATAGATTAAAGACTCACGCACATAGAACAATAGAACTTCTGCAAGAATGTATTCAAATAAAAAGATCTGTGGTAGAACAACTGCCTGGCAGAGAGAGTGGCGGGGGTGCAGACATAGGCAGGACGCACGCAGCAGCTGCGGTCCCGGAAGCAACAGGGAACCGGCCAGCCACACAGCCAGCTAACCTGACGATACGACCAACCAAACACATAACTGAATACAACCAACTGCGCCAAACAGTAATACAGCCAAGCAGCCAACCACACAACCAACCAAACCGACCAACAACAAAATCATGCAGCCAGTCAACCATACAACCAATCACACAACCAGCTAGCTAACCACACAACCAACTAAACCAACAGTACAACCAGCCAGCTATACAACCAGCCTACCAAGCACACACCCAACTAAGCCAACCAGCAACACCAACAACCAAACACATAGACAACCAACTAAACCAGCAACATAACCACACAACCCCAACCAACCAGACCACCAACCACAAGAAAGAAAAGTGGGCTGTTCCGTGTGTGTGCGTATTTGGTTGCACCAGAGAGCTCATAATTTGAAACGTGAACTCCATGCTGTTATAAAAATTGAAGTCCATGTGAGGGAAGAGCAAGAGAAAACTAGTGAAATTCATATTAGATGCTTTAACTGTCAGAGGATCCTGAGACGCCTGGCTGTGCTAACACACACGCGCAGTTCTCTGCAGGCTTACTTATTATTTGCTGTGTTTGATTCGCTTACCACGTGCCTGCCGCGTTCGGGTGTCTGAGTGGGAGAATAAAGTAGAATTTATTACTGCGAGTCGGAGGGAGCAGTCTCCTGTTGGAGCGGGCAGAGGCCTGGTCTGTCAGAAAATGCAGGCCAAGGCGAGAGCACAGCCACATGCTGCTCTCTCCCTGAGAAGGTCTGTGTGTGCAGGGCAGCAGGGCTCCCCCGAGAACAGCCCAGCTGCAGACCGGACTGGGGGGACGGCGGTGGGAGGGCTCGCGAGCAGATGTGGCTGGTGTCCTGCTGCGCAGCGCTCTCGGCAGCCCAGCGTGACGGTGGCCAAAGGCACCTGTAGCAAACGGTAGTTAAAGCCCGAGCTGGCGAGCTGCTCGCTCTGTAAGGTAAGTTCCATCAGATGCCACTCATGTTTTCAACATGCATTCTTTTTTCATACGACGGATTTTGTCTATGCACATACCATTTTGTGTTAGTAAAAAGTCAACCTTTATTCATAAAATACTAATCAGCATTGAAAAGGGGGTTCAGGGACCCGGGTTTCATGACCGGAACCTGGGGGCCGGTGTCGCAGGTGGGGTTTTGAGCCTGAGTCACACTGAAGTCTCAGGGAGACACTCAGTCTTGGGCACTCATGCTCCCCAGGACCTCACAAGAACCCCCAGGGCTCAGCAGGTGCCTGTTGAGGATGTGGGGCGGGAAAAGCTTTTCCTGTCTCCTCCCTGGTGCTGCTCTGGGGCCTGGAGATCAAACCTTCAAAAGACAGGTTACAGGAGGACAACAGACAGCCTGCTGTCACCTGCATCATGCACGGGAACCCCAAGGTGCGCAGTCCAGGGGGGCAGTTAAAGCTTGGCTCACATGGCATCTGAATTTGCAGTAGTTGGTAGAGAAGTGGCGAGATGAGGGAAGGTGCATGTCCGGGGACTGGCGGAGGTGAGGCCGTGGGGATCCCGCCGCGTCTTCCCCAGGCTGGCAAGGGTCGCGCATTGTCTCCAGTGATTGCATCTGGGAACCGTGGTCCTCTTCCTGCTACTGGAGAGAGAGACACGGTTACAGATGGAGATTTATGTCCTTCTTTTAGGAAAGCGGGGGGTGTGGGGCGATTCCTCAGCTGTCTTCAGCTCTGAGTGAGGCACCTGCTGGGGTGGTGAGTTCAGGTCCCTGCAACCACGGGAAGGATGCTGGTCTTCCGGCTCCTTCTGGGCCATACAGCTGTGGTCAGGACGCCGTGTGCCTGCCGGGACCCGGGCTTCGAGGGGGAGCCCAGGCTGGCTGGGGGGCCAGGGAGGCAGGCGGAGGGAGGCCGCTGGGTGGGCTGCTGCCCCGTGTCCCTGGGCGGGGTGTCCTGTCGCAGTGAGCGTGCACCGTCTAGCGTTCCCCACAAGCCTTTCAAGAGGCCCAGAGGACTTTGCGCAAAAGACAGAAACTTAAGGTAAAAGAAACATTGTACCTTCCAGGAAAATCAAAACTACAAAGAGAGCCTCCTGGGAAGAGAGGCACCCTCATCCCCCAGGAGGTCCTGTTCTTAACTGACAGAAGCCAGCAGGCACCCGTCCCCTTGACGGGAGGGCAGAGGGACGCAGCTCAGGGCAGCCTTGCCCCGGAGCAAACCCACAGCCGCTTGTGTCCCGAGAAACGTCTGTTCAAAGCTGCTGCCCGGTGTTTCTTTAAGTTGGGTCTTCGTTGCTGTTCACTGCATGGTTTTGTAAGTTGTTCTGTACCCTCTGAGCTCTGTGACCCGGGTGCATTCAGGCTGCTGTCCGAACCCAGGCATCTCCTAGAGGCAAAGACGTTCTGCCTGAACACGAGAGTGATTTATACGTCAGAAAGTTAGCACTGATTTCCAACTGTGAGCGACCACATGAACTGTCACCTGAGCCATGGCCTCTGGGAGCATGAATAAGGTTGCCCGGCAGCAGGCACCCTGAGGAGATGGCCCCTGGACTTAACATCAGCTCCCCAGGGCCCCAAAGTGCCTCTCAGACCGGTAGCCACTCGGTCACACTCTGCGTTTGGTCCTGGTCTCTCCACCCTCCTCCTGCCGTTTCGTTTCCTCTGATGAGCCCAGGTGGGTCTTCTTGAGAATGGCATGCTCTCTGCCCGTGGTCACTCCGCCCCTGCAGGTTGGGTCCGAAGCCCATCCATCCTTCCTGTGGTGCTTATGTCACTGGACCCGCCAGTGTTCCCGACGGTGTCAGAGCCGCTCTGACCTCCCCTCGTCAGCGGTTTCTGTAAAGTGGTTGCCTTTCCAGTTGTCTTCCCAGCCACACTCACTACCAGGCGCTCTCCTGTGAAAAAGGCCTTTTTCCCTCGTCAAGGAGAATGAACCACGGTTTCTCTGAAGGAGGCAGGTTCCTATTTAATTTATTCCCCTTAGTAACCAATTTCCAAGGAAAGAGTTGCTTTCATGGTGGCTAGTCCTCTCCAAGGGGCACACAGG